TTGCGGTGACCCTACCCATATTATTAAATATTGTCCAAAGTATAGAGAAGCCCGATTTGCTGCCCAGGGGTTTAAAGGCAGCCGCCGGTAGGGGTTGCAACTGCCCTTACCATTAGGCCATGTGGGGAAGTGTGCTCGCACCACCAGGAAACTCCCACACCACATGAGCCTATGGTAGAGGTTGCAGGCTAGTGCCTAGTTAGTTGTCTAGAGACTGCCTGTGTTAGAGTCTCTCTAGGCACCTCCCTCACAGGTGTGGCAGAAGAATTGAAGGAGAGGATGCTGGCCTGGGCCAAGATGAAGAAGGTGAGCAAAGGACAACTTGCGTTAGTAGACTTAGAAGTTTTTAGAAGCAGAGTAGGGGCCCTTATAGATACAGGGGCTACACGTAGTTATATTAGTGGAAAAGCGCTAAAAAAGATGAGGCAAGGTCTTAAAGTCCAGAAGTTGGAAGACCCCATAGTCAGTATCCTCGCAGACAACCGCACGATGCGTGTTGAGGATTACATCGAGGGAGTCCAGGCGTATCTTCGCCTAGAGAAAGATGGCAAGGTGGAGAAAGTCCATTCCCCGACTCTCCTCGTAGAGGAAACCTCCCTTTTGATATAGTCCTAGGCATGAACTGGGGAGAGGCAGCAAGGGCCACACTCCATTTGAGAGAGCATGAGTGTAGGCTCCCTAGTGCATCAGGCGAAGTTAATACTGCTCGCCTGTTTCATGTGTCAGGAGTTGAAAACTCCCTGGCACATTGCTGTTTCAGTGCTCCCGCGTTCTCGCGATTAGTAAGGAAGGAGCAGTTAGAAGAGCAGGTCTTCGTAGCTTACGTGAGGCCTGTCGCTGAGCCTACTGAAGAGAAGCCAATAGACCCAGCCATTGCCAAGCTGCTGGATGAGTTCACTGATTTGGTAGAGCCGCCAACAGGAGTAGTACCGCGACCAATCCAACATCGAATCGAAATAGAGCCTGGCAGTAGAACTCCTAAGGGTGCAGTTTACAGGATGTCCCCAAGGGAGTTAGAGGAGTTGCGTAAGCAACTAGACAAGCTCCTTGAAAAGGGTTGGATTAGGCCCAGTCCGTCTCCGTTCGGAGCACCAATTTTGTTTGTCCCCAAAAAGGAGGGAGAGTTGCGTATGTGCATCGATTACAGGGGTCTGAATGCAATTACAGTGAAGAATGCCGGGCCGCTGCCTAGGATAGACGACCTTTTAGACCGGGTGCAGGGCTGTAGATATTTATCAAAGATAGATCTGAAGCCCGAGTATCATCAAATAAAAGTTCATCCTGATGACCAGTATAAGACTGCTTTCCGGACTAGATATGGGCATTATGAGTTCATCGTGATGCACTTTGGACTGACCAATGCGCCAACCACATTCCAGCGCTGCATGAATGATGTGTTTAGACCTTGGTTAGATAGATTTGTCGTAGTTTACCTTGACGATATATTAGTTTTCAGTAGGACCCTCCAAGAGCATCAGGGTCATTTGAGACAGGTCTTGGAGAAGTTGAGAGAGACTAACTTCAAGATCAATGCGAAGAAGTGCGAGTGGGCCAAGACACAAGTCTTGTGCTTGGGCCAGGTCTTGGAGAAGTTGAGAGAGACTAACTTCAAGATCAATGCGAAGAAGTGCGAGTGGGCCAAGACACAAGTCTTGTACTTGGGCCACGTCTTAGACGGAGATGGGATTAAGCCTGAGGATAACAAGATAGCGGCAATTAGAGATTGGTCGACGCCCCGCACGATGACATAATTACGGTCGTTCTTAGGCCTAGCTAACTATTATAGGAAGTTCGTGAGAAACTTCTCCGCTATCACCGATCCCCTTCGCAGGTTGCTCAAAAAGGATGCAATCCGGAAGTGGGACAAAGATTGTACAACCGCTCTTAAGAAGTTAAAGTGAGCGTTGATAGAGTAGCCTGTCCTCAAGGTGGTAGATCCGTCCTTGTCATTTGTTGTCAACACGGACGCAAGTCAGTATGGTATAGGCGCTGTGTTGCAGCAGGGCAACGACAATGGCTATAGACCCGTAGAGTTTATGTCAGCGAGGATGCCTTCAGAGAAAGTAGCTACCTCGACTTACGAGAGAGAACTCTACGCTTTCAGGCAGGCCTTAGAGCACTGGAAGCATTATCTGCTTGGGAGGCACTTTAAGACCACGAGACCCTTAGGTGGCTGAAAACGCAGGCCAAGATGACACCTAAGCTTACTGGGTGGGTCGCTGAGATAGATCAGTATGACTTCGAGCTCAAACCAATCAAAGGCAAGTATAATGTAGCTGCGGATGCTCTAAGTAGGAAATCAGATTACTTTGGAGCTATAGTTCACTATCTGGATATAGGGAGAGACCTGCAAGATTAAGTAAGACAGGCGTATGCGCAGGACCCTATTTATAGTGACCTTCTCAAGAAAGTTAAGGAGGCCCTAGAGACTAAACCAGATTACCGCACTACAAAGGGATTACTATTCGAGAAGACCAATGTAGTAGACCGTCTGTGTGTTCCTAATAATGAGGAGATCCGTAGTTTGATCCTAGGGGAATGCCACGACACAGAGGGACATTTCGGTTGGCAAAAGACTTTAGCCAATCTGATGCATGCGTATACTTGGACAAGAATGAAAGCCGACTGCATAGAGTACATTCACAATTGCAAAGTCTGTCAGAGGAATAAGACAACTACCCGTGCCCCTCTAGGTCTTCTTCGACCATTGCCTATTCCTGGCCAGCCTGGAGATTCTGTATCCATTGATTTCATGAATGCTGGTGTCAGAAGTAGGCATGGACAGAGCCAAGTCATGGTAATAGTGGATAGATTTAGCAAGTATGCTGTTTTTGTTCCCTTACCCGGAGAAGCCCGTACAGAGTTAGTAATTCAAAAGTTTTTGACTTTTGGGTTAGTGATCACAGAATCCCATTGTCCATAGTTAGTGATAGGGACACCCGGTTTACAAGTCAGAATTGGCAGGAGTTAATGGGAGTATACGGGTCAAAGTTGTTAATGTCATCTGGCCGTCACCCAAAGACTAACGGTCAGACCGAGCAGATGAATAAGATCCTGCAACAAGTTCTTCGCATGTATATAGTCTTAAGATCAAATTAACTGGGATGAGATGTTGCCCAAGGTAGCCAGTGCATATAACAACAGCGTGCACCTAGCCACTTGCCGTACTCCCAATGAGCTGCATATGTCCTTTAGACCGCGCAGACCGTTTGAAGGACTTAAGCGGGACCAGATTCATAGGCTACCGCCCGGTACTAGGGAGTTTGCGATACAGCATGAGAAGGAGTTAGCTACTGTTGTTGAGAACCTCAGGAAGGCCCAGCACAGAATGATAGAACAGGCTAACAAGCACCGTCTCCCGTCACAGTTTCAAGTAGGCGACCTAGTCTGGGTCAAGTCCAAAGACTTTGCTCCTGAAGAAAATATTTTGCAGAAGTTACTGCCAGCATACAAAGGACCATGGCCAGTTCTAGAAGTTAAGGGCAGAAAGGATGGACTGTCCTATACGATAGGGATCCCAGCACACCTCCACACCTACCCTGTGTTTCATGCGTCGAAGTTGCTCCCGTGTCACAAGTCAACAGTTTCCATCGAGAAGATCCATGATCCCTCCGGACATGGATGGAAGGTATGACATTGAGGGCATTGTAGGAGGTAGAGGTCGTCCACAAAAACAGTATAAGGTCCGATTTGCTTATCAGGAACCAGAGGACGGCTGCTGGTTTACCAAAACTGAACTTCTAGAAACTGCTCCCGACATAGTCCGAGCCTACGAAAGAGATAAGAAAGGTAAAGGTCCTGCCTTGGACTGAGATATTCGCGGACGACCTCGAATTTAGGCCGGCGGGAGTGAAACGGTTTTCACCTATGGAGTAGCGGATGCAGATCCCAGGGCTCGATCCCTAGACCTCGCTCCCCTGTGTACAGTACCCCTGTGTGTTTGAATTCGTAACCTGTGTCTTAGGAGTCAGTTGTCACTCGTGGGCCAGTGTGTCCGTTGGGTCTTGAACCGTAGGTCTGCCGCGTAGGGGTCAAGTTTGTAGCAGAGGTCGTAGCTGTAGTGTTTCCGAAAGGTCAAGGTCGTAGCTGCTACAGTGTCGAAAGGTCAAGTCCACAGACTTCCGGAAGGTCCGGAAGTGGCCTTTCAAACGTTGTCCACAGTAGACCAGAGGCAAGTGGGCAAGTGGTGAGTCCACCCGTGCTGAGTCAGCGGTACCCAGTCCCAGTCTCACCTAGTCCAGTCAGCAAGTACCATGTGGGACTGTGTGCACCAAGGGCCCGGTGGAAAAGTGGCAGACCAGCGACGAACAGAAGTATAAATCAAGAGGCAGTGTCCAGCCAGGCATTCATTGCTGCGTGAGCCATGCGGAAGCGCTGCCACAGTGTCTTGTGTGAGGTGGTCTGCAGTCACCCGAAGTGGAAGTGGGCCGTGAGGAGGACAGTGTGCCATAGTTAGTAGTAGCCGGCTGCCACGGCGGCCATAGCTGGTGTTAGTAGTAGCGTGTGTGTGTGTGAGTGTGTATGCGTGTTGGGATATCCAGGGTGATCCAGAGTTGAGTGAATGTGAACAGTGGTGTTGGACAGAAAGACGAGAGTTGGGATGTACAGGCGCTGATGCGCCATAGCCTGTTGAAGCGAGGCTGTATCTGAACTGTTTCGACTTCCATATCTTTGAGCTTTGAGTAGGCGCTGTGCGCCAGTGTGATTCACCATCTGTTTGCATGAATGCGAAGTGGAAAAGAAAGCGAGTCTGATTGCAGAGAGAGAGAGAGAGAGAGAGAGATCAGAATCTACTGGTTAGCGAAAACAACTGTGATGTATTCTTTCCAATCCTGGGTCCAAAACAATCGTCGAAACCCTTCATGGACATATCAAAGATAAGATTCATCAACCTTGTTTTTCTTGAGGGGGGAGGCTGAGGCGGAGAGAGAGAGAGAGAGAGAGAAGAACTGATGGTTGTGAATTGCCTGTGTTGTTTGAACTTTGGGATTGCTCATCAGACACAGAGGGGACCTTTCGATCATGTGATATATGCTTCATTGAAATGGACTTTTGCGCTTCTAATTGGTGCAGGTCAGTCTTGATTCGGTCCTTCCTTCCTTTGTGCCGTTGTTTTCTCTTCCTTTCTTTCCGTTGCTTGCTTCTCTACTTACTCTTTTCTGTTCTTTCATGCTCTCACGTCTGCCCTTTGTGCCCTTGTTTTCTCTTCCTTTGTGCTCTCATTTCTGTTCTTCCATGCTCCCTCTGGACATAGTGGTAATATTTCCTTCGCTTGCGTCTCTACTTACTCTTTTATGTTCTTTCATGCTCTCACATCTGTTCGTTTTGCCCTTGTTCTCTCTTCCTTTGTGCTCTCGTTTCTGTTCTTTCATGCTCCGTCTGGTCATACAGTGGTAACATTACAAGGACCTGGTAAGGATTCTCCAGCAACTTGGAGAGTCGGCAGTCCGGTAGGGTTAGGACTAGGTGTAATGATGGAACCGAGTGGAATCTAGGTTAGAATTAGAGTCAGGTTCGTAGGGTCTGAAGATACAGTCTGCATGACTCTGCAAGGATTTTCCTGCTAAAAGCAGGAGGCCAGTAGGTCCAGGAACACATTGGTAGGCCCATGAAGCCGTCGTGTAGTGAGGCTGCTTGACTGCCGGACGCCCCAGTCCACCAGGAGTATCTCCAGTCTGCCAGTTCATTTGCGACTTACCCGGGTAGTTATGCTGCTGGTCCACGAAGAGGGTGAAGAGGTGGAGTATGAGGGTGATGGAGGAGAGCAGAGGGTGACAAAGACCTCCATAGCTATGGAGGAGGTGAGGAGGAAGATGGTGTATACGCTGGCTATGGTGGAGTAGGATAGAAGCTCAAATTGGGCTGGAGGAGCTAGATGATGATGTTAAGTATCTCAGTGGAGGAGAAAGGAGGNGTATACGCTGGCTATGGTGGAGTAGGATAGAAGCTCAAATTGGGCTGGAGGAGCTAGATGATGATGTTAAGTATCTCAGTGGAGGAGAAAGGAGGAGAGCATAGACAAGAAGACACCTTTGTCGATGGTGGACTGTCATTTTCATCTCCAAGGTTGGCGCTACATGAAGAAGGCCCTGTGCGGGATACGAGGGAGAGGTGGTATAGAGGGCCACAAGTGGAGGAAAGTGAAGTAGTGGCGGTGCTGTCTTGTGTACATTCCCTCTTGTAAAGTGGGATGAGCCTCGCCAGGCAGTAGTGTCACCAGAATGAAGAGGAAAGAGGGAAGAGAGGTGAAGGGAGGTTTATTCTTAAGAGCAGTGATGGAGATTTATGGACATCGGTTGTTGGTCCAATAGTGCATTTTTTTAAAATTATTGATGAGCAACGATAACAGAGGAGGATATATGACGGAGATGAATTGGGGCGAGACGAGGGTAGTTGATATGCAGGGTATTCTGCTTCTTCTTTTTCGTGGTCTTCTTCTTCTTCTTCTTCTTCTTCTTCTTCTTCTTCTTCTTCTTTGCTCATTCATTTTCTCTCTTTCAGTCTTCATCTTCGTGTTGTCATTGCTTTTCTCTCTTTCGCTCTTCATGTTTGTGTTGTCATTCATGTCAAAGTCTCAAGAGTGAGTAATGCATCATGATTTCAACTCATTCATTCATTATTTGCTCATTGACTGCCAATAAAGAGGCGGATGAGTATTTGAGGGAGTTGATGTGGTGGTGCGATAGAAAAGAGAGATGACGTTCGGGTTTCCTCGTCTCTTCTTCAATTGTTTGTCGCCTTCTTCTTCTTTTGGTGTCTTTTTCTTATTCTTTATTGCCTCCTCCTCCTCCTCCTCCTCCGCCTCCTCCTCCGGGTTTCCTTCTCTTCTTCAATTGTTTGTCGCCTTCTTTTTTTTTTTTTGCTGTCTTTTTCTTACTCTTTATTGCCTCCTCCTCCTCCTCCTCTTTCTTCTTCTTCTTCTTCTTCTTCTTCTTCTTCTTCTTCTTCGTCGTCGTCGTCGTCGTCGTCGTCGTCGTCGTCGTCTTCGTCTTCGTCTTCGTCTCCGTCTCCGTCTCCGTCTTCGTCTTCGTCTTCGTTTTCGTCTTCTTCTTCTTCTTCTCCTCCTCATCCCCTTCCTCGGTTTTAAGATTAGCAAAGCTGTTTTTGGTATCCAGTAGGTCCAGGCTTCCCTGATGCGTAAGGAGCGAGGTGTCTGCAGTGCAGGGATTTGTCGATCATCTATGGGCTGCTTTATGGGGCTTCCAGCAAATTGTTTGTCGGGATGTTTTCCTTGTCTCTCCCCTAGAGGTTTGAACTTTGTAGTATTGTCTCAAGTGTTAAAGGGGACAATGAGGCGTTATTTGGGGATGCTAGGGCTGGTTCCCAGCAAGTGTGCCCGCAATCGTGGTGGGGTTGCTGGATCTCGTTTCTATCACTCTGCATCTTAACCGAAGCTGACCAACAGCAATAAAACCCGTGTAAATGACGTGTTAAAGTTCTAGCAAAGAACTAGGGAAAAAGAAAAGGGATGAAATTGCTGAGGTTCGCTGGACTCCCACTGTCCCAGTCTACTTCAGTGCCAGAATGTTGTACTCTGTTTGTCTCAAATTTTGAATGGGTTTGTAGTTAGTTTTTTCTGAAACCCGTGAAAAGAAGCTGTGCTTTGTATTGCTGTGTAAATCAAAGCGGAGTATCTGTTCTAGGTCGTCTGTTGATCACCTTATTGCACTTCCTCAGATGAAACCTGTCAACATGTGAAATGCTGTGGACGATTGCCAAGTGAATGCCACGTCGCATTTAGCAATGAAATGTTTGAAGGTGGTTTTGACAGACTGTCCTCCTCGGCTGTAATTGTGGTACTGTTCTTAATCTGCTCGATGGTGGATTTGACATGACTGTCCTCATTTTTTGACAGTTGCTTTCACTGGTTTCTGAGTAAAGATGGACTGGTTTTGTGGATGGTGTCCACTACCGTTGCTTACTGCCTCCCCCCCCTTTCGACCAAAATGAGAAATAGTGCTAACTCCTGATTCATTTCCACCTGGTACTGAAGAATCTTGATGGGTGGATGTATACTGTAACACTCTGGGGTGATGCATGGGCGTGTTCGGCAAGTTGTGGCCCGCCCTTGCCTTTTTCTTTCTTGTTTGTCAACAACTAAAAGGTAGGAACAGTCTCAACTCCTGAGCGATTTCTGCCCCTTTTCTTGACGCCGGTGTTGTGCAGCAACGAGTTTTACTGCTTTTCTTTAAAAACAAATTAAGCTATGTTCTTCCCTCATATGCCTCACACTACCTAATCCCCTATGTAAGTCCAGTTTGTGAATGACCTATGTTGCAGCCATGGAGTGCCCTAAGCGTTATGGGTTGACACTGACCTCCACCCGTGCCTAAGCACCCCTGTGAATCCCTGACATCTGGTGTGAGCTAGAAGGGATTCAAGAACCTCCTGACCGACCAGGAGGGGCAAGCTAACTATCTCAGCTGGTGAACCCGAAGCATACCACAGGGGGCTGCGGGGATCAAGTGAACGACGTGGGCATAGAACCCATGACCTTCTGAAAGCCACTTACGAGCTCTACCAACTGAGCTGGGCCACTGGCCCGGTTTTATTGCTTTTCTTATAAATGCAATCAGACTCGTTCTCAAACACACTCTTCATGCTGTCTCTTATACACATCTAGATGTGTATAAGAGACAGGAGAGAGAGAGAGAGAGAGGACCGATAAAAGATTGGTTGTGCAGTCCAAGGAGGAAGAAGGCGACCATAGCCGTGGAGCTCGGACACGGAGAAGAAGAAGGAAGACGAACGAGGGAGAAGGAAGGAGAGACCGAGAAGTGAGAAGAAGCCATAGCTGAGGAAGAGGAAGGAGGGACGACGAAGAGGAAGGAAGACATAGCCAGGGTGAGGAGAGAAAGAAATAAGGAAGAAGAAAGGAAGGGGTGAGAGAAGCGAGGGTGCGAGGGAGAGAAAGTTGTCCGCAGCCATAGCCGAGTTGAAGGTTGACCAAGGTGTTGACCCAAGGGTTGACCAAAGTTGGTTTGGGTGTTGACTCGGGCGTTGACCAAGGCGTTGACCAAGGTTGATTGGAGCGTTGACCGGGGGTTTGAACAACGTTGACCAAGACGTTGACTGGGGCTGCTGACCACGATGCTGACCAAGCTGGAGTTGGTATATTCTCACCAAACCCTCAGCCTATTTCCTCGCCCTATGGATGTGCACTCACCCTATGGTACTTGCCGAGTGTGTCTGTCTCTTCTTTCTGCATTGAGTCTCTTCTGTCCAGGTGATAGGAACTTCGTGTATGAAGGATAGAGCCTTGTTGACCAAACCCACACGGGCTGAGTAGGGCTAAAGGCCGTGCCTGACGACTCGACTGACCCGGAGGACACGAACCCTCCCAAGGACCGGTACTGACCAACGGGCTGCTCGGTGTGGCACGGTAGGCCCAAAATCCGAGCTGTGGGCTGCACAACAGGTTGTCTAAGTCTTGAGAGGACTTGCTGATTGCGTCGTCCTGTCTGCGACGTTAAATAATTCCTGAGGAGTTACGGCGGATCTCCTTAAATGCCTCCTGATCAACAATAAGTCCTATAGTGACAACCTTAGAGTAGGTTTAAGCTAGGGACCCTAGTTGACAGGATCCTACTTGGATTATGTGGTCCTTAGATGGAGTCCAAGGTCTAGTCAGTCAGGTGCCGAGGTCTAAGTGGTGAGGTCTGGAACTGTTGTTCGGTTGTGCACCTATCACCATGGTTGACCTTCGCAGTGGGAAAAACACCATGCCCTATAGCAAGGCTCAAGAGGAGCAAACCGCCGCCATCCTAAGGGAGAGAAAGGAGAAGGAGCTCCTTAGACAGGCGAAGGTGAAGATGATAGCGGAGGAGCAGACGACGAAGAAAAAGAAGTTAGAGGAGGAGATGAAGAGGTTGCAGCAAGAGGAGGAAGAGAGAATGCAGGCTGCAGGAGAGGAAGAGATTGAAGAAAAGGAGCAGCCAAAAGAAGAGCCCCTCATAAGAAGAAGCATGGGGGAAAGAGGAGAGGGTAGTGGTACGAAGGAGGATGACCTGTGGGTAGAGAAGATGATATCTGAGTGGGTGGCTAATTTATCTTTGGGAGAAGATGAGGAGGCG